TGTCTGCCTGCTCTATCTGTGAGTCTGTCTCCACTGTGCTCGGCAGTTCAGTTTGTTCATCAGATTCCACGTACGAGTGAAACCACAGGGTGCTCCCTGCGTTTTTAACGCTGACGGAAGACATGCCAACCGCCTCTCCGACGCTGGCCTTGCTCTGACTCCCCCACCTCAGTCTTCAGAGCTGACCCCCCTCCTGGAAGAAGCCACACCCCAGGCTCGCAGCCCCTGCAGGTCCCTTAGCGAGAGCAGCTCTGCTCCATCCCAGCAGAAACCGGGTCCTTGCAAACCGCTCCCACGCTAGGGCCCGAGAGCGTCCCGAGTGCCGCAGATGAATGAACGCGGCGGGACGCAGACTCTCACCTGCGGACAACGTATTTGCATAAATCGAGAGAGCACCTGTGTGACAAATTCACATCAGACCCCCTACCTCCCTGGTACCGACCACGCTGAAGCTGCCAAGCTCCTGGACTAGGCTGACGCCTGAGAAACCGGAAGGGAAAGAGGCGCCCTGGGAGAGCAGGTAACGAAAAGCTCCAGAGCTCGGGGCTGGTTCTCGGGGCGGGGGACAACGACAATATCCAGCATTAGAAAACAAAATGCCAGGACTTAATTCTACAAGCTGAGCCTCTCCAAGCCGGCGCCATCCCCCCGATCGCTGTCCCCAGGTGAGCAGTCAGCACCCACCTGCTGCACCTGTCACCGGCCCCCTGCAACTCACAGTACTGAGTGAGGCAAGGACGCCTCCATCCGGCTCCTACCAGGTGAAACCCGGAGGGCAGTCCAACCCCGAGTCAAACACGCAAAGGTGTAAGTCAAAGGGCCTCGGTCATAAATCAGAAGCGAATGGGGACGGACACGAGCCTGACCCTTCAGTGGGACTCTCCGGGCTTGACGGCCCAGGGCGAAAGCAAGGGGAGGGGCCACCGCGGCGCACACACCGGCAGCGGCCGACACAAGCCGAAGCCACCGTATCATTCAGTCCGCCTCTTACGCGAGGTCGGGCGAAGCTGTCACGGGGACCAGGCTTTCGTTTCCAGACAAGACAAGAGGCAACCTGCGCATCAGACATCCAGAGGCCCTCCTGATCTGCCGAGAAGACTTGGCTATGTTTGGTCCGTGCTTAAAATCCCCCCCAGGGTCCTGCCTCTTTCCTAGCAGGGGTCCCGCCCCCCAAGTTTTCAGGGGGTGCTGAGCAGGGATCCTTCACCAGATGATTAACTCGGCCAAACTCCCGAGATGGAGACAACAGGCTAAAACGTCCTCGGTCTGCACCCTAGAGCCACCTTCGCCGAGCAGCACAGAAAGAGGCGGATCAACCGATAAAAGCTACAGAAGAAAAGCATCGAACAAAACCATCGTCTGGAGGGAGGGTGAGGTGTCTGCCACCTAGAAGTGGTTCTCATGCCACTGGCTTAAAACGTCATTTCCTCGGCCTGGGACTCACCCGGCTCATTCATGAAGCCCAGGTCCAAGCCTGGGAACACGTAGTTTTAACGAACAGCCCGGTTGACCCTGATGCAGATAGAAAACACATACGATCCTGGCTGCACAACAGGCCCCTTGCAAACCTGTGGACAGATTGCCTACATTTGGTAAAAGGGACATTTGATGAACTGTTACGAGGTCCCTTTGAAATTTAATTTCCATGAGACCACGGAGGCAGGTAAAACACAATAACCACAGCAATAGTAATACAGTGAAGTTGAGAACGTATATAAATTGAGATGCATGGGAGTGTCGTGCTTAGGAAATCAGGCTCTGGCTTCACCATGGCCTGGGTTCAAGTCCTGTACCACTGACTGGCTCTGGGACCTTGAGAAAAGTACCAGTTTCGTCCTAGGATGAGTGATATAAGCAAGAGTTAAGTTCCTACAGCATATCCTGGTCACAGAAACGTCACCAAACTTGCACACAAAGCCCCCAGACATGTCTAATAGTAGACACTGAAATCAACGTGAGCTATGCATACAGTTGAGAAAGATGAATAAAACACGTAAGATAATTATTTTCCAGACTTATTTAGGGCAAGGTTGCGGATGGCCGGAGTCCACCCCGGCTGCTCAGGGCGCCAGGCGGGACCCCAGCAAGAACAGGATGCCTTTCCATCTCAGGACCAGAGGGAGCGGGGGCAGGGGAGGAAAATGGGGGACGTCTGTAACAGCGTCAACAATATAAAGAGGAAAAAAAAACCTTTATAGTTACAAAAATCCTACAAGCAACAAATCAATTTTCTGAATCAGCACAAGGAGCTATTAAGCCCGAGTCCTTCACTTCTTGGCACGTGAGCAGCTGTGGTAGCAATTTCATTAGCACTCTGATAAAGGTGACATCAAATTAATTCAAGATGCCTCCTTGATAGACTTGGGATCTTCACAAACACAAAAAAAGAAGGGTTGGTGTAGACTCCTCACGGTATAATTATCCTGCATGGGAAATAGGTACACGATGCCATCAGAATGGCAAATAATCTAAGATACATTATAGCTACTATAGACATTGTTACACAGATCGTCCCATATTCGTGCATATTTAATTAAAATGATATTTATCTAAAGGCTAATGAGACTACTTTGAATCGTATTTACTGAAAGACTAATGAGACAGTCGAACACAAGCTGTTTATTAGCTGAACGACAAGACATGTGGCATCTGTACACAGCAAGAGAAGACCAGAATTAAAATTAAAATATCACTCAAAGCTACTTGTAAGCCTCACAGAAAAAAATTCCTCTTAGAGGAAAGAAAGACCGTGTACAGTGTCAGCTTCCCACTGAAACTGATGGCGCAGGGAAAATGTACATTCCAACCCAAGAACGTATCTAATGAGATAGTACAAACTATACATCCAGTTTTCAGGACTGCAGTGGTCCTAAGTATTTACATATAAATCATCTTTTTCCGTCACAAAGGGAGGCCCCACGCTCATGGGGTGGAAAGCAATCGCATGACACGGCCGCTTAAAACCACCGCACTTTGGGTTGCGGGGCCTCAGAGAAACATTGTTGCTATTCCAGGGAGCCAAGTGACAGCTTGTTATCACAAGAGCATGGCGGAAAGGAACCGTGCTGAAATGCCAGTGCCAATGCCAGGCATTTTCTCAAATAATCATGATAATGTTAATAACAAAAACAGTAAAGTCTGAAGGCTTTCACCTGCAAGAACAAAAAATTCCAGAAATGTCAGAATGTTGTCAAACTCTAAGTAACAAAATTGTTTAACATGGAATGACGAAATACTGCCCGTCAAATAAACAGAAACTCACGTTCAGATTAAGTAAGAAAAGTAGCAAGTCAGTTCAAGGCTGGAAGTTTTCGATGAAATAACACTATTCACGAGCAACTATCTGAATGACAGTCTTGGTTAAATTTTTTAGAACATAAGTAACAGGACTCATGCATATATCCATATAAGTTTAGGAAAAACATAAAATCCATATATATAGCAACTATGCTCTCCAGATAATTCATTATGAATTATCTAAACAAACATCA